TAAAAAAAACTTATTTTTATCTTCATTTTTTTCCCGCCCGCCGCAAAACAAACCCAAGTTGCATTTTCGTGGGAGTATCATGATCAAAGTACCGAAGTCTCGCGCAGATGAGAAACAATTCTTACAATTCTTTTAGAATCACACAAATCTAATGGGAAAATAAGAATTTATTTTATTTTTTCCGCCCTCCTAAAAAAAATGCCTTATAAAAACTCGAGAAACAAGGAATAACAAAAGTCTGGCCTATATAATGTAGAAGTACTAGCTATTCAGGTGAGGAGTTGTGTCAATATTAAAGGTTTATTCATTGGACCAATAGAAACCAAAGTGTTATGATTCGTTTATTGCTTTATTCAATATCCTTGAAGAATTTTCTAAGATTTCTGGTTTATCACCCAATTATGATAAATGTACGGTGTTGCGCATTGGTTCTTTGAAAAATACAGACTTTCATATTGACACGCCGTATCCCTTAGTATGGATTGATGGTGCTGTCGATGTTCTTGGGATTCCTATTCCTGTTGATTTATCTCAATTGACCTATGTAAATTTCAACTATCGCATTGAAAAGGCGAGGAAGATACTGCAACCATGGTACGGAAAGGGTCTGACTATATTTGGAAAAATTACAATTATAAAATCTTTGATAATTTCTCAGTTCACCCATCTTATTATGTCTCTACCATCTCCTGGTGATGAGTTCTTTAAAAAATATGAAAATATTGTTTTCCCGTTTATTTGGGGGTGGTAGGAGAGACTTAGTTAAACGAAATGTACTGTACAAGTCATATAGGAGGGTTGTGTTAATTTACTAATTTATGGGCATTCAATAAAGCTTTGACAGCAGCTTGGATTCCGCGTATTTACCATAATGATACTTCCTTTTGTAGTAAAATATTTAAATACTTTCTCTCCGACCTTGGTGGTGCTCTGGTTTACTTTGCTAAGCTGGGTAAACCAGACATATTTAAGTTCTTTAGGGGGGTCATTATTTTGTTTGGATTGATGTTTCCTTTAAATCGCCCGATACAGCATCTCACATAGTGTCGATTCCTCGGTTTATACAACTTTTCAGGGCTGCAGGAACTGGATGTTCAGCGGAAAGAGACCAACCTACAGGGCTAATCTATGTAATGCCGGACAGTTTATTCGTTGGAAGCAATTCGTTCTCTATTATGTCATACATTAAAAAAATGACAGGTTTAAACCAATAGCGACCGCTTCCGCCAGGCTGTCTTAAAAGAGTTACATTTCACAACTGTCACGGCAAGACACAAGGATTCGAGCAGTGTCTCTTTCGTTTAGATAAACTGAGTTTATAGTCGCATAATTAAAGGAAGCTAGTCGTCGCGCCGCGACCAAAACGAAATACCTAATTAAAAGCTTGGTAACCTCTTGGTTTGTACTAGTACGCAGCAGTCAAAATCGCCATCTTTGAGACCCATATATAGCGCATGCGCGGCGCGACGACTACCGCCCTTTAAGAGAGTGAACTTGCTTATAAGTATAATTGTTTTACGAAGACAGAGATCAAATAAAAATAAGAAATATTGCTTTTATCACGAGTGAAACGAACTACTCATGTCTCTTACGAAGTTGAAATTGGAAGTTGGCACATTTTTTTTGAACATCTGCGTTTTTATTTTCGAAACCAAGTCTCCATCGATCTACTTGCGAGAAATACGTAGCGTCACAGAGGGCGCTTGTTCCCAGCATGCTTCACGCAAGGGCACTCTGCGTGAGTAGTGTCGTAGCGTGTGAATTAGTCTTACGTGTGGAGGAAGCACACGTGTGCCAAAAACAGTATGTACATGCGGGTCGATGTTTTGGCTCTGACCATCGATCCATCATACTTTTTTTTTCAATTTTGATCCATCGTACTTCAGTAACACGCAGCAACTACGATGCGACTGTACACATTTTTTAAAGACAGTTTGAGCCAAGTTAAAATTTTGCACTACTGAGCATGTTACTGCATATATTACAATGCATTGTGGGAGATAACTTCAAATGTAGCCATACTGAGCATCTTTCTGCACAAACATACAATGCATTATGGGAGATAACTTCAAATTTTGCACTACTGAGCATGTTAGTGCACATATATGCAAAACAGTTTAACAATAAAATAAAATGATTTTTTATTCCTTGTTACCGAACAAAATGTCAAAATGTGAAGAAATAATCATAATATAGATACAAGCGCGAAATTGCCAATTTTGGCGGTTTTCTGTGATATTTCTGGTTCTTACGGGATTACCCCGAAAAGGAAAACAGGTAGAACATGACATACAATTTTTAATTTTTAACTTCTTTAAAATTTTGATCAAGTTAGAGGGTCTCAATGCCACATTTCCGTCTGAAAAATCCTCATTTCGAAGTTGAACTAGAAAAAGAAGAATTCGAGCTCAAAACGAAATCATTCGATTTTTGCAGCAGACGTTCGGACCGGGCGTCTTTCACG